ACGTAAGGCAGAGGACGGTAGGCGATTAATTAAATAGGCGGCTGTGGAAAAAGCAAAGGACCAAAAAAGTGTAGGAAGATTAGCATGATGCAGAAGAGTGATACCCGTTTCAACATGATGACGATGCTTCCGTTCGGCCAGACCATTATGCTCAGGAGTATGTGGAGGTGTGAGAAGATGAGTGATGCCATGATGGACAAGAGTAGAGCATAATTTCTGAAACTCACCACCACCATCAGAATACAGGCGAAGAATGGTGGTGGAAAAATAATTTTCTACCATCTTGCGAAAATCAAGAAATACAGAGAGCACATCAGACTTTCTTTTCAAGGGATAATACCACGTATAACGGGAAAAATGATCAACGATTATTAAATAATAAAGAAAACCATCAAAGGAGGTAACTGGAGCCGGTCCCCAAACATTCGTATACAATAAATCAAAGGGTCTGGTACTTTGCAAAGAAGACATGGCAGGAAGTTTGTGACTTTTATTGGAAAGATAAGAATTGCAATGACTATTGACGATGGAGGATGATACAGGCAAAGAGTGGGATCGAAGAAGACTGGTAAGAGAATGGGTAGACGGATGACCAAGACGTGCATGCCAGGAGGCGGAGGTCATGCGAGTGGCGACAAGAGCAAGACGAACATTATCCACATCACTAGGAAGCTCATAAACATTGCCATTATTTGACCCTTTCAGCAGTGGCGCCCCCGTGCGAAGATCCTTCACAACAAAACAATCAGCAAAAAATTCCACCGAAATGGTATTAGTGCGACAAAGCTTGGCAACAGAAATAAGTTTACGTTTGATGGCAGGTGCACATAAAAGATCTCGCAAATGAAAGGAAGCCGTCGAGGAACACAATTTAGTAGACCCAATATGTGTAATTTGCAAACCTGAGCCATCGCCAACAAGAATCTCATCGGGGCCATTGTAATCAGAATAGAGTGATAAGTTGCCTAGATCGGATGTGACGTGGTGAGAAGCAGCAGAATCAAGTAACCATGGGCCAGAGGAGGCAACAGGACTAGCAACAGTATGATGGGCTTGAGACTGACGAGCCTCGTAAGCGTGACGGGCCTGCGGAAATAGTTTAAAACATTGGCGGACCGAATGACCGGGCCGCTCACAATATTGACAGACAATGGGCTGCCGTCGTGGGGCCTGGGAAGCTGATGGCGGCGAGCCATTATAACCAGAATGCCCAAATGGGCTTTGGGCCCGTTGAGGAATGCAGGAAGGAGTGTCTGGGCGTGGAACATGGGCCCTGGCCTGCGAGTTGAAGGAACGCGGAGAGGCACCAAACCCTCGCTAGGAACGTGAAGAAAGAGGAGCGCCGCCGCTCTGTCTCTGCTGATGGTGTGAAAAAAACGCCGTGGGAACAGAGGTGCGCATTTGCGCCTTGAGATCAGACTCGTATTCAACGAGTGAATCCACGAGATCCTCCAGATTGAGACCCGGACCGCGAGCACGAACGGCAGCAGAGAAGGCGGCATATTCATCGCCCAAGCCACGGAGACAATGAACCACCAAATCCATATCGGAAACCGACGCATTCACGAGCGCGAGTTCGGCAGCGATACTCTTCAAATCATTTACAAAGGTCAAAACGTCATTATCTCCCTTGGACGTCTTGGTCAATTTAGTTTTCAGATGGATAACCCGAGATTGAGCACTACTCGCGTAGAGCTTTTCCAGAACAAGCCACGCCTCGCGTGACGTAGTTGCCGCAGAGACAAATGAGTAAATAGACTCAGAGATTGAAAAACAGAGAGCATGGAGGATGAGCTTATCTTGGCAAAACCAACACTGGTAGGCTGGATTGGATTGTGTAGCAGCCTCCACAGTGATCGTACGAGAAGGAGCAACAGTGGAGCCATCAAGAAACCCGAACAGATCAAGCCCCATAAGCAGAGTTTCGAGCTGAGATCGCTAGAAGCAAAATTAGTGGGAGTGAGCTTCAGCGGAAGCTGAGCTGCGGGATTGAACGTGACGGTGACTGGGATTTCAGCAGAGGTAGCGGTGTCATGAACAGTGGAGTTGCCGGACATTTGGAAAACATAGAGTGTCGAAGAAGACAGAGGAGAGAAAAAAAAACTCAATAGGATGAAAGCGGATCGATACTAGCTGATCGTTGCTAGCTCTGATACCATGTTAGGATAATGAACTTTTGATAGAGAGAATTGATAGCAATCGAAGTGTATCTTGCATTATGATATTCTGTTCTCTATATACACGATTACAGCTTTCAGGGAGGTAGTTCAGAGTTTTAAGGAGTGGTTACAGGGAGTGGAGAAGTGGTTGTACATGAGTGGGGAAATAATAACAATAAAAAGAATAATAAAGAAATTTATTCTTTATCTCTAATAGCACCTTCTTTTTCTTCTCCCAGACTCTTCTCTTCTTTTCTCGGGTGGATTCTTCTTCCTGCCGGTCTTCTTTCCTGGTCTCCTCCCAGAATAAATCGATGATTCTTCTGTTCTAATCAGCCCTACCTCCGTCAGAGAAGAACATCGGAGCCGCCCATGTATGTCTTTGTCAACTGAACGAAATTGAAAGGAAAGAAAGGAAGATTCTCATCCTCCTTCCCCCCCTGCAACCTTCCCTTCGTCGTTCCTTGCCCGGGACGAACCCAATACCCACCGACCCCCCAAATCTCATGTCCCAACTATCCCTACCTCTCTGTCGGAGAAAAACATCGGAGCTGCCGTTGTCCGCCGGCGTGGGTTTTTCGAGTTCTTCCTCTCGTTCCTCCTTCCATGTGTGTTTTTTTCTTTTTGTTCTTGGTAGAAAGATGGAGAGAGACAAATCTAGAAGTAGGAATGGCAACAAAATCCGAACCCAAGGGTACCCACCCGATCCAATCCGGTCAACGCGGGTAAAATATGTGTTGACGGGTTTTGGACCGGGTTGGGTTGGGTTGGGTTTGGATTTAGGTAAACCCGCCCCATGGGTACCCGCCCACACATATAATTACTTTCCCGGTATATTTATATTCTAAATAATATATCTTCTTTAAAGAATTAATATGTTTGTGGAGACGTGTATACTTTGTTCTTTCTAATTGTTTAGAATGAAGTTGATATTATGGAGTGGAGAGTGAAGAAACTTATTTGATGAGGAAGAAGATTTCAATTAATCTTGTTGTTTATAAATGTTTATCTTTAATTTTGAACAATTTGTATTGATCATTTGTAGTTTGTTTGTATGTTCTAGATTGGTGTTTTTTGTATGAATAATTTGTATGAGAAAATTGATGTTAAACTTTTATTTTGAAAAAAATTTGTTATTGTAAATTTTTACCACAAAAATCCACGGGTACCCATGAACCCGCGGATACCCAGCGGGTTGGGTTGGGTTTAAGTTTTTCAAACCCAGCGGGTTTTACCCCGGGTTTTTTTGGAGGATAAACCCATGGTTTTGGGTTTGGGTTTGACAAAACCCGCCCCAACCCGACCCGTTGCCATCCCTAGAAGTATGATAGAGAGAGAAGAGAGATTTGTGTGGTTGGAGAGTGGGCAGGAAGGAAAAGTAACAAGAGAGAGGTGGGAAAGAGAAGTCTGTTGCCATGCCAGACATATAATAATTACGGGAAGGAAGTAATTGGAAGTGATGGAAGGCGGCCACAATTCTTGGAGGCTGCAACAATGGATGTGACCGAAAGGCAAAAAAAAGCAAAACGAGTAACAGTGGCGGAATGTGACTCTAAGAAACAGTAACATCCTGCTTGTTCTTTTAATAGAAAGAATAAGACAATAAGTATATGGTCTAGTTTCGAATAGAAGACTACTATGATCTCGTTTGCCTCTAGGGTTCTTGTAGTTTGCGATCTAGTCTATCCAGAAAACTTTAGGGTTTATTTAGATCTACGGTCATGTAATCAGTCTGTGTAATAACTACCAGTAGTATGGTTATTATTTGTTCATATTAGAATTTTTTCTTCCAAGTTGCAGGCAGTGGTTTGATTGTTTCGTGGGGGAGTGCACACTGCACAATGCACAACAGATGTTTGATGAAATGCCCCTGACAGAACCCATCGGAAGCCCACCTATTGAAATTGCTTTCTTCGTCCATACATCTTCTTTCTAGTTCACATCTATTTTTATTCATTGCTTCATGATCCATGGGTTTCTTCACAAATCCTGCTAATCGGCTTCTGAAATGCCGCCAATACTGCTGAATGATGATCCGCCCTCTGCAACTGTTGAATTGCATACATCGCCAAGCTCTGTCGCTCTTTTCCCTAAGCTGTTGCCGCCCTTTGCTTTCAGAAAACATGAACTTTTCGAACAACTCGAGCAATCTCTTCTTCCATCGTCTCGGTTTCTCGCTTCAGCACTATCTCGACCTTACACAGAATCCCCTCTCTTAGTGTCTGCATCTTGATCCCGAAACAGAAGGGAGTCAACATGGATTTCACTGCAAAAGGATGCATCCTGCTCTATGCCTATTACCTAACAGATACTTGATGAAATGCCCCTTACAAGAACCACCCATCTCTCTCACCATCTAAAATCAAAGCGCATCAATCTGTACTTCTAGGCCTTAGACGATGCATCCACCATTGAATCGTGACTCAACCACTCCTAGTCGTTCTCTGACACAATCTCTCACACTTGCATCACAATTGCCATTAGAAATTGGATTGGTTTTACAACGAGAGCTATATGCTAATAAGAGTTTTCCAATCATCCAAAGTCATGTTTAAAGATAAGTATTTTATTGTTTATATGTTGATTTTTTTATAGATTATAATGAAAATATTATCATAGCGAAAACATTGAGTTCGTACAAGTAAAATGTGAACTAGTGATAACTGAAAATGACAATTGACCAAAAAAATCGCCGCTCTATTAGTACAACTCACTCCAAAAATAATAAAATCATATATGTTAATTTTCTGTGTACGCTCAATATGCCTATATTATTATTTATCATGAAACCTCTGTACATATTAGCATTCCCTATATATAAAAATAACAATAACGAGAAACCAATTAAGATTAGAGGCAGATCATGTTACATCACGCATTAGAGGCAGAGCATGGCAACAGTTGTGAAGAACATTGTGTTGAGTTTTGTCAATATTTTTTCTGTGATGTTGTTTGGCTACGTAATCAACGGTACTTGCCGGAGTCAGGTTTCGTTCGCCGTGAAGTGCCTGGTAATATTGGTAAGAACTGATCATCTCTCTGGTTTCTCACCAAATGGAAGAATCCCCTCTTTTTCATCTTCAACTTTTCATAACTCACTCTTCTTTTTCTCCTTTGGTTTTCGGCCTGTTTAGGGGTGTTGTATCGTTAGCGTGCTGGGATCTCTGTTTGTGGATTCGCTCAAGGGCGATCGGCAGCAGATTCAGTCGGCAATTGGAGGAACCGCCGACCCAGCGAGGAAGGAAAACTGATCGTGCAACCCTGATATTTGTTTGTAATAGTGGTAGTTTCTGATCTTAAATTGACGTTCTAGTGTTTTGTGAATGAAAAATCTGATGGCCTCAGACTCAGTTATGTGAATCGTTGTAATCATGATCAGTTTAGAAAATTTCTCTTGTTATGTGAATTGTTCGTGTGAACTGTGTCCTGATTCTTTGGAGAAGACTATGCCTAACATATGCTCGATGAAATGCCCCTGAGGAAACATAGTTGGAAATTATCTTCTTGTAACAGCGTTGTCTGTCTTGATTTCATAGAAGATTATGCCTAACGTATGCTCGATGAAATGTCCCTGAGAATGCATCCCACTGGCATCCGTTTCCCTCTAGCCCACATATACTTTACTTTGATTGTTCCCGTTATTCGTACTCTAGCAATAATTTTGAGTCGCCGATCAGTAACATTGATGGCGAATGATAGTAACTAGCCTCGAAATGAATAGTCTGCAGAAGTTGGTGATAGGAAAGATGTTTCGCTGTGCATAGCTGATAGAAACCTAGAATTAGGTTCTATCGGTTTTTAGGAATTTGGAGAAAAGAGGCGAATCACCGAGGAAGTGATTAGCTCTTCTTGAGGAAAATGGGAAGGGAAGAGGAAAATTGGAAATTGAGAGGGTGAAGGAACGAGGAGCTACCGAGGCAGCAATGAATGGAGGGGAAGTTGGGGTCGGCCGAGAGAAGGGAAGAAAGAGGGATTAGAGAGTGCTTTAGGATTTGATCTTGCTTGGTGGTCTAATCCCACGTACAAGTAGTTTATATAAAAATGGATAATTTCCTACTGCTACCCGACTTATTAAATATCCCCAATTCACTCCAATAATTCTTGAAATGTCATAAAATAACAAACCGACAAAGATAATCTGAATAAGCAAACGATAGAAAATGCGTGTTTCTATCATCCCCGCCTCCTTGGAAACAACCTTGACCTCAAGGTTGACTCGAGCTTACTGCTTCTCTCCCAAGGCCTCCTCGCGCACTAGTGACCGACGTTGAACCGCTCATTGCAGTTGAAGCACTTGCCCTCCCGACGCTTCTGTTCGATCTCAGTGGGTGACAGCCTGACGAAGCCTTTCGGGGGAGCACGAGGACCAGGTCTTGGTCCTGTCGTCGCCACTGGCGGTGGATTCCCTCCTGAAGATCTGGTGTCCGCCCCAGTGGCCGCGCTTCCTCCCCCGCTGCCTGCAGAACTGCTGCTTCCCCCTCCGCTCGGCCTCTAGTAGCGGTCGATGACACTTCTCCAGCTGGCAAGTTCTTCCTCCTTGTGACCTGCATAACGGAAAGCAGTTCTTACAGTGTCGGGTTCAAACCCCTGGACAGCTGCCGCAATTTCTGGCTTTAGACCAGCCAGGCATAATCCCACCAGTGTTTCTTCCGGAACCCCTTTGCACTGATTTTCCAGTTTGAGAAATTCCGACTGATACTCTGCCACCGTTCCGGTTTGTCTTAACTTAGCTAACTGCTTAGGGACTCATCCCTCTGATTTGCCGAACTGATAATGGAGTTCCTACTAGAACATCGACCACGTGATCAGAGTCCCTGTAGCAGCATAAGACCTTTCCAGCCATTCCAGTCATCAAACCCAGATCAGTCATCTCAAATTCATTCAACATGCTGGTTTTGAAGTCTTCTATTTGCTTCACATTGCTTCCAGTATTCAGAAGATCATCCACATACAGAGAAATCATCACAGTTCCAACCTCATCAGTTCTCACATAGAGGGTTGGTTCACTTGAACTCTAAGCAAATCCCAATCTCACAAGATAATCATCAATCCTGGAATTCCAGACTCTTGGAGCTTGTTTTAGTCCATAGAGATCTTTCTTCAGTAGGTAAACATGATCCTCTTTCCTGGAATCACAAAGCCTTCAGGCTGCTCAACATATATCTCCTCCTGAAGATAGCCATTCATAAAAGCATATTTCACTTCTAGCTGATGCACTTTCCAGTTCTTTTTAGCAGCAATAGCCAGTAGGAGTCTTATAGTATCTAGCCTTGCCACTAGTGCAAAAGTTTCACCATAGTCAATCCCAGACTGCTGAGCATACCCTTTAACCACAACTCTTGCTTTGAACTTGTTGAATGAACCATCTGAGTTTAATTTAATCCTGTAAACCCATTTAGTTCCTATCACTTTTCTTCCAACGGGCATTTTAACTAGAATCCAGGTTTCATTTTTGTCTATCATTATGCATTATTCTTCCATGGCTGAGTTCCAGCCTTCATGCTTGAGAGCTTTTTGAACAGACTCAGGTTCTTCAATGGCCATGTTGCATCTTTCATACAAATTGGCCAACGTTCTCGTGCCTCTTACAGACGTGTGATCATAGTTACCATGATCACTCTGATCATCTTCTTCAGACTCCAAATCCTCATGTTGATCTTGCTCATGAACTTGTTCTTCATCAGCCTGAGGTTCTGGCTCATCATCTATATCTTGATGATCTTGAAACTGAACTGTCACCAGATCATAGATGTCTTCAGATTCACTTTGAGGAGATGGCCAATCATGAGTGGCCTTCTCATAAAAAATGACATCCCTGCTCAATTGGAACTTCTCAGTTGTTGGATTGAAGATCCTGTAGGCCTTAGACTTAGTACTATAGCCCACTAGAATCCCCATTTCAGACTTGTGATCAAGTTTGTCTCTTTTTGGAGCTGGAACATGAGAATAACACACAGATCCAAAGGTCCTGAGATGAAATAGACTTGGTTTGAATCCATTCCAGACTTCATAGGGAGTCATCCCCTTAACTAACCTTGTTGTTAACGTATTGAGCAGGTAGACTGAAGTGTTCACAGCTTCAACCCAGAACTTCTTAGGAATATTATTCTCAAACTACAGGCATCTAGCCATTTCCATGACTCTCCTGTTCTTTCTTTCACTTACTCCATTTTGCTGTGGAGTATACCTGACTGTGAGCTGATGAAGTACAACCTCTGAAGCCAGCAACTTCTCAAAGGCTAGAGATGTGTATTCTTTCCCCTTGGCAGATCTCAAAGTTTTAATCCTTTCAATTGCTTTGATTTTCAACCATAGCCTTAAATTTCTGGAATTTGGGAAGAGCTTCAGACTTGTTCTTCAGGAAATAGACCCAGCAGTATCTTGTCAAGTCATCAATGAATAACAAGAAATATCTACTCCCCCCCCCCCCCCCCAAGATTCCACCTTGAAAGGGCCACATATATCAGTGTGGATCAATCCAAGCTTCACAGGAGCTCTCCAATTGTGTTTCTTAGGAAAGGGCAACCTGTGTTGTTTTCCAAGCTGACAGATTTCACACACACCTTCATTCAACTCAAGAGCAGGTAAATCCTTTACCAAACCCTCTTGAGCCATTTTAATCATAGTATGTTGACTGAAATGACCTAGTCTACTATGCCACAGAGCTGATTGGTCATTTCTAGTCACTACAGCCATGTTAGCAGTTTTTATTTTCAGGGCAAAACTCCTTTGAATCATAGAGAGATCAAACAGTTTATCTCCCTTTGAATCATACACAACACAGGACTTGTTTTTCATTTCCAAAGAGTAACCCTTTTCAAGCATTTGTCCTACACTGAGCAAGTTCTTAGCTAGAGCAAAAACAAATAAAACTTCAGGGATTACCTTAAGTTCAAAGGCAGTTTGCACTGAAACTGATCCTTTACCTTCAATAGATAGCAGATCACCATTTCCAATCTTTACTTTAGATTTGTATAACTTTTCCAAATCTCCTCATCGTTGGTCATATAATTTGTACAACCAGTATCTAGAAGCCAATCCTCACTGCTGCTTGTAGCTGTGAAACAGGTAACCATGAACATCCCTTCTTGCTTGTTCTGTTCATTTGCTTCTGCAACAACCACTTGTTCCCTGACGCTCTTGTTTGTGCAGACCTTTTCAACGTGCCCTAGTCTTTTGCATGACCTGTACTGCACATTAGGTCTATACCAGCAGTAGTTCTCAGTGTGATTGGTTTTCTTACAGATGGGACAAGGAGGATAGACCTTCTTCTCAGTTGGTTTTTCAGTCTACTCCGCCCTACCCTTTTTCTTCTTTCCATGAGTTTTCTTGACTTCAGAACTTTTCCCTTTGGCCTTTTATTTCCTTACAACCAAAGCTTCTTCTGAGTTTTCATCATTTCTGATAGAACTCTTCAACTCAGTTGCTTGCAAAGAGTTGATCAGCTGAGTTATGCTTAGTGTAGTCAAATCTTGTGTTTCTTCCAGAGTTGAGATCTTAGCCTCAATATTTTCAGGCACAGTGACTAAGATCTTCTCAACAACCCTATAATCATCAAAAGTCTCACCAAGCAGCCTTAGTTGATTCACATTTTTCATGATTCTATCCAGATAGTCCTTGATACTTTCACTTTCTTTCATTCTCAAACTTTCAAACTCCCTTCTCGGATTCAGAGCTTGCATTTGCTTACCCAGACCCTTGGAACTCTTCTTGAAGTTTGTCCCAAGCTTCCTTTGTTGTTGTGTAAGTCATGATTCTGGTTAAGACATCCTCAATGAGTGCAGCATGGATGCAGGTAAAAGCTCTGTGGTTTTAGCTACCTCTTTAGCATATCTGGTTTGCTGATTTAAAGAAGCATTTGCTGGAAGTGGATCCACCACTCTTCCATTCACAGGCTCCCAGATGTCATTCCCTTGCATGAATGACTTCATCTTAACAACCCAGATATGGTAGTTCTTACCATCGAAAACTGGGGGTGAGGTCAGAGAGAGGCCAGTTGAAGTCATTTCTGAGTAACTTACAACTGGCAGAGGTCAAGAAAAAGAAGAAGAACACTCAACCCTCACAATACCTCACTGATTCACTCCAAAGAAAACCTCACAATCCCTTTCAAAGATCAAGAGGGATATGATACCACGTGTAGTTTATACACAATGCTTGTAATTTCCAGCTGCACAAACTGCAGAAAAGCAATGTAACAGTGCAAACTAGGAAAAAACAGAATGGTAGAAGAACAACTTTTGAACTCAAAACAGTGACTTAGCTTCAGTGCATCAGATCCGCTTTTCCATTTCAATTTGATATGTTTTCTCACACATTATACCAAAAAGAAGAGGCACCAACCTTTTAAAGACTCAACTACAAACCCTAGGTTGTTCTGCAACTACTAAAACAAACAAACAAAAGCTTAAAGACAAAACCAAGTACAAGAGTCACTTTCAATGTTCCCCAGAAACAAAACAAGAAGAGGCATTGGCAAACATGCCCTTCACAGTGGTCCCTCAACATCCTTAGCTTCAGTCCAAGGTTGAAGATAGTCCAAAAACGTCCCCCAGCTGGTTCCATCTTCATCTACATCTCTTTCCAGCAAGCTTCCTCTGTTTCTCCAGCAGCACACTTCATTTCTTGTGCTCCAAGACAGATGTAGGTTGAGAGGGTACCATCAAGTAACAAACTTCAACAGTTGGGACCAGAACCAACCCAAGAGTTGAGTCTGGCGGGCCGTCCAGAGAAGTGGGCCGAACCCAACAGGAGGGCAGCCGGGTTGGACCAGATGTGGGCCGCTGACCATGGCGGGTTCGGCTCGAATCAAACGACCGAACCGGTTGGACCAACCCCGGTCCGACCGGCTGGACCCACACGGGTCGAACCGAAATTGAACCACCTCTGGACGACCAGCAGCAAGGCGGACCGAATCATGGGGTTCCTATGGGGGGGGGGGCGCGGATCGTGTAGCGAGGAGGAGGCTTCCAACCACTTCTCATGGGCCTAGACGGACCGAGACGAGTAACCCAGGATTCGAGGAGCTGGTATACAGGGCAACCCCGAGGTGAGGAGGGAGCGGAGTACATGAACAGAGGTCCGAGAAATTCGCACAGTGGAAGGTATGCTTGGTATGACCGCTTTAATGATATGGATGATGACTTAGTTTTCAGAGCTAAGCCTCCAACCATTGAATTTCGGAAATTCAATGGGCAAGAGGATGCAGGGTTGTGGTTGTATGCAGTTGACAGGTGGTTTAAGAACCACCTGACTCGGGAGGAGAGGAAGGCGCATCTGCCGTCCTTGTACCTGGATTCTAGTTAAAAGGCATGTTGGAAGAAAAGTGATAGGAACTAAATGGGTTTACATGATTAAATTAAACTCAGATGGTTCATTCAACAAGTTCAAGCAAGAGTTGTGGTTAAAGGGTATGCTTAGCAGTCTGGGGGTTTAACTATGGTGAAACTTTTGCACCAGTGGCAAGGCTAGATACTATAAGACTCCTACTGGCTATTGCTGCTCAGAAGAACTGGAAAGTGCATCAGCTAGATGTGAAATCTGCTTTTCTGAATGGCTATCTTCAGGAGGAGATATATGTTGAGCAGCCTAAAGGCTTTGCGATTCCAGGGAAAGAGGATCATGTTTACCTACTGAAGAAAGCTCTCTATGGACTAAAACAAGCTCCAAGAGCTTGGTATTCCAGGATTGATGATTATCTTGTGAGATTGGGATTTTCTAAGAGTCCAAGTGAACCAACCCTCTATGTGAGAACTGATGAGGTTGGAACTGTGATGATTTCTCTGTTTGTGGATGATATTCTGATCACTAGAAGCAATGTGAAGTAGGGGTGAAAGCTTGTCCCGGAAGACCCACTGACCCGTCCTGACCCGTCCCGTCCCTAAGGGTCGGGACGGGTCAGTTTGTCTACAGGGACAGATTAGGGACGAGTCATTTGTTGACCCTGTAAGGGCCGGGACGGGTCGGGACAACTTAGGGACGGGCCACGTTTTGACCCTGTGACCCTTAGCAACAACAAATATCTCATACTTCATTGGACCTTTTTGTAAAGTTTTAAAAGTTTAGTTACTAATTTGTAAAAATTAAAAATTTTGGGTAACAAACGTAATTTTACCATCAAAATTTATGGACTTATTTGTAAAAAAATTAAAATTTAGGTACTAAATTCTAAGAAAAAATAATTTTGGGTACCAAAACGTAATTTGTAAAAAAGTAGTGTGTTGATTAGGGTCGACCCACTGACCCGACCCGTCCCGTCCCAACCCCTGAGGGTCAGACAAGGTCAAGAAGGAGACAGGGACGGGACGAGACGGTTATACATCTTGACCCTTCAGGGACGGGTCAGACAGGGACAGGGACGGGACAGGCAAATTTTCATCCCTATTGTGAAGCAAATAGAAGACTTCAAAACCAGCATGATGAATGAATTTGAGATGACTGATCTGGGTTTGATGACTTACTGTCTTGGCATTCAAGTTGAGCAGACTGAGAAAGGCATTTTCATATGCCAGAAGAAGTATGCAAATGAAGTTTTAAAAAGATTTGGAATGGAGAATGCCAAGGCTGCTACTACACCACTTCCAGTGAGAATCCAACTAACGAAAGAAGATGGATCAGGCTCATTTGAGCCTAAGGTTTACAGGAGTTTGATTGGAAGCCTGATGTACCTTTCTGCAACCAGACATAATGTTTGCCTCTGGTTTGCTAGCAAGGTTTATGCAATCTCCAACTCAAATCCACTACAACACAGCTAAAAGATTGCTAAGGTACATTAAAGGTACCACTGATCTTGGTTTGAAGTTTGAAGGTGGTAAAGGAGTGTGTTTGGAGGGTTTCTATCACAGTGATTGGGCAGGATCTTCTGAAGACATGATAAGCACCTTTGGCTTTGCTTTCTCACTGGGATCTGCAATCTTTTGCTGGAGTTCAAAAAAACAAAGCATTGTAGCTCAGTCAATTGCTGAAGCTGAGTACATTGTTGGTTTAGAAGCTGTCAACCGTTCTGTTTGGTTGAGAAAATCATGGCAGATTTGGGTTTTGAGCAAACTAAACCAACTGTCATTTGGTGTGATAATCAGTCTGTTGTGGCCATGACTAAAAATCCAGTGTTCTATGGAAGAACTAAGCACATCAAGATCAAGTATCATGTGCTTAGAGAGGCTGAAGCAGAAGGATTGATCTCTATAAAACACTGCTCTACACAAGACCAATCTGCTGATATTTTTACTAAGTCTTTGAGCAAACCAAGGTTTGAAGAGTTGAAAACATGATTGGAATGGTCAGTGGCATTGCCAAGGAGGAGTGTTGTAGTTTGTTACTTGGTGGTACCCTCTCAACCTACCTGTGTCTTGGAGCACAAGAAATGAAAAGTGTTGCTGGAGAAACAGAGGAAGCTTGGTGGAAAGAGATGAAGATGGAACCAACAAGGAGACGTTTTGGACTATGTCCAACCTTGGACTGAAGCTAAGGATGTTGAGGGACCACTGTGAAGGGCATGTTTGCCAATACCTCTTCTTGTTTTGTTTCATGGGAACATTGAAAGTGACTCTTGTACTTGGTTTTGTCTTTAAACTTTTGTTTGTTTGTTTTAGTAGTTGCAGATCAACCTAGAGTTTGTAGTTGAGCCTTTAAAAGGTTGTTGCCTCTTCTTTTTGGTGCAATGTGTGAGAAAACAGATCAAATTGAAATGGAAAAGTGGATCTTATGCACTGAAGCTCGGCCACTATTTTGAGTTCTAAAGCTGTTCTTCTACCATTATGTTTTTTTCCTAGTTTGCACTGTTACGTTGCTTTCTGCAGTTTGTGCAGCTGGAAATTACTAACATTGTGTATAAACTACACCAACAATCCTAGCCCGTTGGGCACCCAGGCCTGACTCCCCTCTTCCTCATGGTTCAGTGGGCCCACATTGTCATAGCTCGGCATTTTGGCCTTGCCACGCCATGCCGCCATCTCTTGGGCCATCGGGGTTGGAAGCAGGCCCGCCTCACTGTTGGCCCAAAGTGAACTTGAATCGCACGCCATGTCTCCTGCCCTAGCCCGATCGCCGAGGCCGCCGACCCGTCTGCTCCTGCGGTCGTCATTGCCGCCGTCGCCGCCTCACCCGAAGCCGCCGTCTCGGTTGGCCCTTCCCCAACCTCACACTCGAGGCCCATAGTGGTCTCGGCTCTCGGCGGTTTGCCTTGCCTCACCTCTGCATCTCATGCCAGTTTGCTTAGAGCTCGCCGAATTTCATCAATCTCTTCTTGACATCTCTTCTCCGCCAGCTCTCGATCTGCCATCAGTCTCTTCACAACAACCTAGAGTTCGCCCACCGCAATGTGGAGCTCTTCTAACCCGGTCTCGTCCACCACCCTGACCGTCTCCAGTACCCGAGTCGTTGGGTTCGGCGGGTTCCTTTCCAGGGCCGGAGCGGCCGCCATCGACCCGCCCTCGTCGCCGCTGCCCTGCCTAGTCGCCGCGGTGCTCGCGGTTGCCTTTTCCTGGGCCGCCTCCGCCGCAACCTTCTGAGACTTTGTTACCGCCATAACGTGATCTTGTTCCTTGATGATTTGCTTGGATCATAATGGGGCTCTGATACCAGATGATAGAAACCTAGAATTAGGTTCTAACGGTTTCTAGGGATTAGGAGAAAAGAGGCAAATCACCAAGGAAGTGATTAGCTCCTCTTGAGGAAAATGAGAAGGGAAGAGGGAAATTGGAAATTGAGAGGGTGAGGAAGGAGGAGCTGCCGAGGCAGCAGTGAAGGGACGGGAAGTTGGGGTCGGCCAAGAGAAGGGAAGAAAGAGGGATTAGAGAGTGCTTTAGGGTTTAATTTTGCTTAATGGTCTTATCCCACGTACAAGTAGTTTATATAAAAATGTATAATTCCCTACTGCTACCCGACTTATTAAATATCCCCAATTCACCCCAATAATTCTCGAAAAGTCATAAAATAACAAACCGACAAAGATAATCCGAATAAGCAAACTATAGAAAATGCGAATTTCTATCAATAGCTCGAGGTATTAAGAACCAGTTAAGGTCAGGTCAGGAACTTCTAGTGCCTCTTGGTGTTGACCTTTAGCTAAACTGCCAAGAACTGAAGAATAGTTACAAAAAGAAACGTCTGTAGGTTGTTCTCTCAGATTCTGCATCTTTGAAACATTGATCTAGCGGCATCACAAACTTGCAAGCATTGAAACGGAAAGGAGCTACGGCGGATGTGAAATGCCATCAATAAATGCATCGAGGTTAGTTACCGACGATCCGCCCTCTGCAACAGCTGAATTGCATATATCTCCAAGCTCGCTTGCTCTCGTCCTCCTTCGTTGGCCTACTTTGCTTCCACTATCCATGAACTGCTCCACAATTCGAGCAATCTCTGCTCTACTTCTTGGTTTATTGCTTCAAGTGTATGTCGACCTCACACCCAACCCCCAATCTTCAACAATCTGCTTGCTGTCAACATGGGCACCCCAGCAAAAGATGCTTCCAGAGTCGAATTCCAACTGCAGTGACTCCAAAACCCTCCTACTGAAGAATGGCTCAATACCTTCAACTGATCACACCATGGCAAAACGATCCCCTTCTTGCATTCACCAGTTAGGTTCAGCCGCAAAGCTTCTGCACGAGCTATCCACAGGAACCGAATGCCAGCAGCTTCAAGGCCGGCGAGGATTTCATCTATTTGAGTGCTTGAAACTGAGAGAAACTCCCCAATGAGATGTATAGTACAGAGGCTTTTGGTTGGTTGTGAAGCCACTCCATGTAGTCAACACTGGAGGAACTCCGTCGTAGTTCCAAGTAGGGAATCGTCGGGCCGATCGGATAGACTGGAAATGTGAAAGATTGTTTTAAGGAATCCATGGTTTGGATTTCGAGTTCATAGATGGAAGTAAAGAGGAGATACTGTGCTTTTGGCACCTGGAAAATGCATTCCAAGGCAAGTTCCAGCTCTGAGATTATTCTTCTGGAACAACGTTTTTAAGTTCAGAAACTTGTGAAGTAGAAACCCCAGGAATGGAATCCATACGATCTACATTAACAAAGAGAAAAACAAAATCACTCACAAGTTTAAATCAGAGCATTATAACAAAAGACACCCCATTTCTGCATTTTACCTAAAAGATCCTTTGGCGGTGAACTCAGGCTTTTTGGAGCAACATCCAGATGATACAACATGGAAAAGAAGGAAGCTGACATCGTCCAGAAAGCTGCCACCGGAATATTCCTTCGGTCTCCAATTCCTATAGGCTATAGCCCATCTGACTTCAATGTCACCGATGATAGCAGTCACCGGAGGTTGAACTTGAAGCTGATCAAGGAGCTGTTCAAATGGGGATTCCATCTCCGTCATCACAGCTTCATAGAATCCTGGAAAGTCTATTGCTTTCAGGCGTTCTGGTGGAATTACGTTGGCTGTGGTTTTGAACTGAACTATCTCAGGCTTTGGTTCTGAGCTTATGCAGCTTTGGTTCTGAGCTTATGCAGCGAAGCCACTCCTCTGTGATCACAAAGGTGATAAGGAAATCTCTTCATCTGGAAGCAAGCAACATGTAGAGGTTCATCATGGGGTTGATGTGCCCTCTCCCTGGGAACGGCATCACCACCAGATGATGGCATACTTCGGTTCCATATCAGGAGAGCAATTCCTGCTGAAAATGAGAGAACTTGGTAGAACACTAGAAAAGGGTTCTCCTTATTTTCTCAAGATTAGAATATGTACCTCACAAAAGGGCAAAGCATGATAGAAAAATGGTCAAGTGGCTTGTGGAGCTAGCCACCTGCTACCTTGCTTTGTGCCTTTCTTGCTTTATGATCTTTAGACAAAGATCTTTATCCTTTATTTTATGTTATCATCCTTCATCGTGATGTGTGAAAAAAACGCCTGTATTGTTGCTTACAGTTACAGACATTCATCAACATCAACAACACTAACAAGCTTTGGAAACGTCTGAGATGAAGTCATCGAGGTTTCTATCAGAAGATCCACCTTCTGCAATTGCTTGCCTGCATATCTGCCCCAGCTCTTTGGCCCTCTTTCTCATTTCCCTAACCTCACTATTCTCTCTATCCATAAACCTCTTTACAATTTCACATATCTCACCTCTCGTCACCAACTCACCATCATTTATTCCCAACCCACCAGGATCTCTCTTCAACCTCCACCCAATTCTCCATTTCTCAACAATCACCCTACTGTTGGGAACCTGATCGAAGATAATAGGGAAAGTAAGCATCGGAACACCCCCATAAACAGCTTCCAAGGTCGAATTCCAGCCGCAATGAGTCCAAAACCCTCCCACTGAACCATGGTTCAGCACCTTCAGCTGGTCGCACCATGCCACCACCATCCCTTTCTCACCACCACCAAAGCTCTCTTGTAACCTATCACTCTCTCCGCGAGCAACCCACAAGAATGGAACAGAGCTTTCCCTGAGACCCGCTACAATTTCCTCCATTTGCCGCTTTGAAACGGACAGGAAGCTCCCTAATGAGACATACAAGACTGAACCTTCAGGGTGGGAATCTAACCATTGGAAATAATCAGCAGCAGGTTTAGTAACTGTATCGTTGTCGAGTTGAGAGAAAGGGATTGCTGGGCCAATTGGGTAAACTGGGCACCGAAATTCCGATCTCAGGGAGTTGAAGACTTCAGGTTCAAGCTCATGGACAGAGTTCACCAGTAGATACTGAGCTTTTGGCACCCATGAGATGCATTCTAGAGTAAAATTCATGATTTTCCGGTCATCCCCACGGAATATTGCTCGGAGATCTGCTACCTCCGGCGGAGAAATTGCAACAATTGAATGATCATGAAGATGCTCTTCTCCGTCATCTATCACAAAATGAAGAGAGGGGAATCAGAGACGAAGAAACAGAGTTCAAAATTTTGTGAAATTTGTCCAGTTTGAATTAAGAACAAATTACCCAATAATTGGTCGCGATTCTGCACGCAGGCGAAGCGATGGAACAGGGAGAACACTCTGGCAGGGACAGTACACAGCGTGGCCACCGGGATATTCCTCCGATTGCCGATTCGGACGGCCCAACGGAGCTCGGTGTCGGAAATCATGACGGTGACGGGAGGGTCGGAGAGGCGATCGAGCAGTTGGTCAAAGGGAGATTCCATCTTGGTCATTACAGCATCGTAGAAGGCGGGGAAGTCGGATCCTCTGATGAGCTCCGATGGGATTACATTTGGGATGGAAGCTAGCCGGATATTGCTGTGAATAGTTGTGCCGTTGCCGTCGCCGCCGGAAAGGATGCGCAGCCATTCTTCAGTGATGACGAAAGTGACGAGAAGGTTGGGATTCTTGGAACAGAGAAGCTTGCAGAGGTTGAGCATGGGGTTGATGTGGCCTCTTCCTGGGTAAGGAACAGCCGCCACGTGGCACCGGCGGCGGCTTCTGCTGCTGGTTTCTGAAGGGAGGGGAATTTCGGAGTTCATGACTGCGGGCTGCGGCGATGAAATTGGATTCTGGAGAAATGAGAGACATCTATGGCTGGACGGTGAGTGGTAGCTGGTTAGTTTCTTGCAATTTTTGTTTCTCTCATGGGCCTCCTCGGATCTTTACCCGCATGGATCAAGCCCACAGATCCGTTGAAGAGGATAGCGACTTTTGATCGCCCAAACCGAGTCCTAATGGGTTTATTAATTTTGGACCAGAACCTGCAATTAGTCTTATGGGTAGGGCGGTTGATGAGTCGAGCCGAGATTTGCCTTGTTATTGACTTGTTTATAAACGAGCCGAGCCACGTTGAAAACGAGCCAACTCATTTATTAAATCTTGGCACATCATTAAGATCGAAAGTTCGGCTCGAGCTCAACTCTAAGATAATTTATAATATAAATAACCTAAATTTATATGGCATATGTGATGCATGTGATTACCTAATGTTATGTCATATATGAGACGTATTTGCTTACATATACTCAATGTATTAAAGACCATATGAGGTGATATACAATTTAATAATTATATGAATCATTAACAAACCAACTCATAAAATATAGATTGATTTTCTCATAAGTTGTAGTCGAGTTGGCTTTCTAGTCACAATGTTGGGACATATCATAAGCTCAAAACGAGATAGTTCATGAGTTGTATTCAACGAGTCACCTAATCGAGCTAGTTCACGAGCTTCACGAGCCAAACAAGGTAGAGCTTTTTTTAAGCGAAATAGCTTTTATCGAGTTGGAGACCGAGCCGCTCACGAATAGCTCGACTTATTAACAACCCTAATTCTGGGTAGTTTGAGGTGCTAATTGGTTCGATCGGTTAATGACTAATTGCTATGATGGTTAGTTAACTACTGAACAAAAATGTATAATGATAATTGAACCAAGAAGATTTAATGGTTAATTGTGTGTTATCATTCGGTTAGCAGTTAACCACTAACCAATAACAAGCTTCACATGTGATGTTTTTCTTTTGTTATTTTGAAATTTTGTATGGCTTCTTTCTTATTACTAATATATAATTATACAAATAATTTAAAGTATTTTAACATAAAATAATAATTATAAGAAATAACATCAATACAATACAACATTTATCGTGCATTAATAATTCAAATTCAAACACATAAAATTACGAATTATCAGAAGTCTTCATCCAACTAGTAAGACATTAAACACAAGCACCACAAGATCACCATCATCCACAAATATCAAATAAAAAAAGACTACTACAATGCGAGGTTTGCTATATCGGCTGCAAAGTGGGTCACAAAGGGGTGAATTTTCGCATTCTAACTCTTTACCGTGTTTGAGACTTTGAGAGGAGAGTTGTTGGCAATAGGTGTACACTGGGTTGTTTGGAATTGCTAATTTGGTTGCTTTTGAATCTTGAGACTTTTCTCCTAAGTCAAACTCCTAAACTACGTGATTGTACTAATATGAGGTTATCGGTTTCTGGTTAACCATTACTTTGATTTCAAATTCATCGATGGAGCAATTCCTGCTGAAATGAGAAAACTTGGTAGAACATGCATTCCGCAAAAGGGCAAAGCAGGCTGGAAAATTGGTCAAGTGCCATGTGGAGCTAGCAACTACCTTGCATTTGTGCCTTTCTTTGTTCCTTTTCCCCCCTTAGATGACATCCTTCCTAATGATGTGTGAAAAAAAAGCAACTGCATTGTGCTCACAGATATTCATCCACATCAACAACACTAACAAGCTTTGGCTCTCTTTCTCATTTCCTTAACCTCACTAAGCTCACCATCCATAAACCTCTTCACATATCTCACCTCTCATCAACAATTCAAAATCATCTATCACCAACCCATCATGATCTCTCTTCAACCTCCACAAAATCTTCCATTTCTCAACAATCATACAACTGTTGGGAACCTGATCGAGTACAAGAGGGAAAGTATGCAATTCGGCAGTTGCAAAGGGTGGATCATCATTCATCAGTATTGGTGGCATTTCATAAGTGGAATAGTGAAGACAATCATTGATCATGAAACAATGAATAAAAAAAAGGTGTGAACTATAGTGAGTGATATGGATACGATGGATAGACAAAGACAAAATGAAATCAAAGACACAATTCCACACAACTACCATTAGTATTAAAATCGTTCCTATGATTCAGAAGCACCCTAGTAATCCGAGAAAAGTGCCAACATAGCTGATAAATGTCGCTTATGTAGGAAATTCAAAAGAGTCATCAAGTAAATCTTGACCAAACCACGTTGATTATTCCAATTGGATATAACTAGGCCAGTGTCACCTACAGATCACCACCATCACCTTGTTGTCCTGCTAATTCAATGAGCACACCAGCCAAAGATTCTGCCTTTGCAGCTGCCCTAGTTTTTCGAGGTGGGCAAATGCTTGAACCTACTTGCTCGTAGGAATGATCACTACCGGAAGAATCAGTCTGTTCTAAGGGGGTCAAAGGAAGGATTGGATCCCTCTACATCAATTGTCGTGCATGTGCATGTGCGGGTGCAGGTCCATGCCAATCATCATGGCGACGAGTTCTCTCGTTGCTCCGCTGACCAGGAAAGACTTGTGCAATAAAAACTCCCCCTGAACCTTAGCCTGCTCCTGACCCTGAGGAGGAGCATCCGCAACAGCATGTCCTCTATGCACCTCCTCAAGTGGGAGAATAGCAAGAGGAGCATTATGTGGGCAACAATATAGTACCATTAATTTTATCATTGCAGATAAAGGTAGAAAAGTAAACGGTTGGATACTCCATTTTATTTTTAAATTGCATTTTATTTTTTTACCATATTAGACTTTATAAATACATCCTCCCATCAGTTTCCATATTACAACTATTAGTTGTGGGCCCCACCCTCCCAGTCAAATCCTTTTTGACGATTCTATCTTTCTCAATCTATCTTCTATTTCTTTTTTTATAACCAAGATAAGCCCCCCTTGGCATGGTCGAACACGACAATTACAATATAGAGAATAATAAAGAACGGTAGTCCTTATGCAACCAGACTCCCAATGAAAGAGGCTGATTTGCCACGAGGTGGGCGGCTTTGTGAAAGCCCCGAGGAGTAAAAGGACATGAAACTAACTCAAATAGAGAAGAAGAGAAGATCACTTCCCTACGAACACCCCATTTGAGTGTGATACACATCGAATTTGCATCCAAATGTGAAAGCGTAGGAGAGATCCGCTACAAAACAATACAAACTAAATAGCTCATATATGGGGATATAAAATTCTACCACACGAGATAGAAGAACCACTGGACGCTTAAACAACATTACCAAATATACCAACAAACTTTATTATACATAACGAATAAGTGGAACAAATCGCAAGCCCTTATTATAATATGATTACTAATAAATGTGACAACCATTTTAAAAAAGATAAAATATACTAATTACAGTATTAATATTAAAATATAAACTAAAGTGAATTACAAACCTAAAATTGAAAAGTACACTAAAAATAAAACAAAAAACCCCACAATAATGAAAAACTAAACCATGACAAAAATATTAAGTACTTACCTAGTAAAACTCAAGAAACATTAATACTACAAAGACACTGAAATTATAAAACAATTGAAAAGGAAGAAGGATCATCAACATGCTCCTCACCCTGCGGAGGAGCATCAGTAACAGCATGCCCTCCTTGAACCTCCTGAAGCGAGAGAATAGCAAGAGAAGCATTTCTTTGCGATTTTGCAACAAGGTGTCCAGTTACTCTATGAGTGGTTCAATAACCAGCTTCATCGAATTTTTCACCATCTCTTCGATGTGTTTCACTAGCTTATGGAGGATCTTGAAATCTTCTTTCAATTCCATCTGACGAGCCTCAATGGCTGTTAACTCATCTACCCATTCATCTTCATCAATGGTAGCATCAGCCACTCCCTTCCCTTTCTTAGTATGCTGAACGAACTCCATTACATCCAACGATCGGAGCAATTTCTTCTTCTCCTCTTCCACAGACATAAGTATTCCAAGCAGATCATTGAGTTTGTTAGCATTATTGATGAAGAGTGCTTGATGGCTCACAAATGTCATCAAGTCAACCGGGAGCTGATTAGGATCTTCCACAAATTCCACGAGTAAGATATATAAGAAAGAAAAAAACAAGAAAAGTCGTTCGATTGAAATACAACTACTAACCATACCGTCCTTAGTCAGTGTCATCGTTGCCTCCGCCAACGAACGATGTACCACCCTCCTCTTCCCTCCGACGAACTTCCCCGCCCTTCTCTCTCCTTCCTTCTTCTCTGTTCACTCTTTTAGTGGCTAATTATTTTATGATTTCTTTTAAGGAAAGTACAATTTGTTCTTAACCCTCATATATGACTTGAAGGTTAAGTGGAATAAATCGCATAGTCATTATTGCAATACATAATATGATTACATAATATACTAGTCACATCATTAATATTAAAATATAAAATTAAACTAAATTACAGACCTAAAATTGAAAAGTACACTGAAAACAAAACAAAAACCCAAAAATAATAAAAAAACTAAATCATGATAAAAATATTAAACACTTACCTGATAAGGCTAAAGGAACGTCAATACTATAAAAACAACAATGTTATGAAACAACAATTGAAAAAAAGAAGGACAATTTCATTAATATTAAAATATAAAATTAAACTAAATTAAATACCTAAAATTGAAAAGTACACTGAAAACAAAACAAAACCCCCAAAATAATAAAAAAACTAAATCATGATAAAAATATTAAACAGTTACCTGATAAAGCTAAAGGAACGTTAATATTATAAAAAACACCAATGTTATGAAACAACAATTGAAAAAGAAGAAAGAATCTAATCTCACACCATCTCTAAACATCCTAGAATGAATTATCTATTTTTTTTTATATAAATGGATGCAACTACACCCTACCTTTCATTCAAAACCACCCGAGACTCAGAGCCCCTGAATATCGTACATAATCCAGTTACAAAGCATAGGATCGGCTAATGGAAACATATGAACCCCCAAGGTAACAGTATGACCCTGACTCGCAAGATAGTCCGCACACTTATTGTCTTCCCTGTATATGTGATTGACTGAGACGTCCCACTGTCTGTGAAGCAGCTCCTAAGCTCTATCCAGGACGGCTGCATGGTGATGCTCACTAAAGTCGGAAGTCCGAAGCAGCTGACAAGCACATTCGGAATCCAACTCTAGTATAACGTGACGGTACCCAGCATCCTAAGCTAGCTGCAGTCCTTCAACAACGCCCCTCAACTCTGCCCGGGTAATAGAGCAGACACCCAGGTTCGTAGCAAATGCCAAATGGCATTTACCAGTGTTATCTCTTAACCGGCCACCAGCTGCGGCATGACCTGTAGTCATATGAACGGAGCCATCAGTGTTGAGAGTGACCCACTCTGGAGGTGGCGGCTTCCACGAGATATCCACCTCCGTTCTCATGGGCGGACTAGGCTTATGAATAAGCCTGTCCTTGTCCAAGGCATGTCTCACGACAGTTATCCAAGCCTGGATGCGCTGAAGAAAGACTGTAGTAATTGTGATCTTGCCTACAAAGACTCGATCATTCCTGGTCTTCCAGAGAGACCAGCAGGTAAGGCCAAAGTCAAGGCCAGTGTGATCGCTTCGAAGGTTGCGCTCGATCCAATCCTGTAGATTAGCTCCAAAGAAATGGTGGTATTCAGAAGGTGGGATTAGTTGAATCCAAGTTAACCTGGCAAAGTCACAGTCCCGCAACACATGCAGGACTGTCTTCTCTTCCCCGCTGCAAGCTCCGCATCTGGTTGACATGGTGAGTTTCCTCCAGGTACGTTCGCTGTTGGTGAGGAGCCTTTCCCGCATAGCTAGCCACAGGAAGTGCCGAACCCGCTTTGGTCCCCGCCAATTCCAAATCGCCTTCCACTTGGCGGCGTCATCTTTCTCCGAGCAGGCCGCCGCAATGGAGTAGGTTGTTCGTATGGAGAACAAACCATTCACCTCTGGTCCCCAAGTTGAGACGTCCTCACCAGCTCCCTCCACAGGTTCTATATGCCTGCAATCTTCAAAAGCATCTCATTTGGTAAGAATTGAGAGAGGGTGGTGAAATCCCACTTACCATTATCCACGAATGCGGCGACAGGTGTGTGAGGATCAACCGGGGGCGAGTCCTCCTTCAGGTAGTCCAGCAGTACAACACCCGTCTCCACCCATTGGTCCGCCCACATGCTTGTGTTCATCCCATCCTTTAGGCACATAAGCATCCCCAGGTTTGTCACAGGCCAAGCTTTCCGCATCCCTCTCCATAGGTTAGAAGACCTAGCCGCAGATTTTGCTACCAGAGTGCCATTAACTGTTTTGAAATATTTCGACTGAAGCACCTACACCCACAGCTCATTCGGTTTTTTAGTAAACATCCACACTAGTTTAGCAAGGAAGGCTAGGTTCAGCTCATGCGCCTTCCTAAATCCAAGGCCCTATCTCTTCGGATGGCACACTCCTTCCTAGTGGACTAGATGGATTTTCCTGCTATCTCCTGTGGAACCCCAAATGAACTTCCAGACTCGGCGATCGATCTCATCGCAGATCGAGATTGAGAGGAGTGTCGTTTGCATTGCATAAGTAGGCAGCGAGGTCAACACTGATCTCGCCAGGGTCACTCTACCTGCAAACGACAAGCTAGTAACTTTCCACCCTGCAAGTTTGTTATCTAAGCGATCTAGAATATATTTATAAGTTTGTTTCGTTACCCGACCATGCAGAACTGGAACACCAAGATACCTTCCCAGATCCTGATTCTGCGGTATTCCCATCATGTTGGCTATAACAGTGCTCCTCTGCCTGTAGTATTAGCCGAGAAGAAGACTACTGATTTCTCCTTACTCAGCTGCTGGCCAGATGCCTGGAAAAATCTATCCAGACATTCCATGATAACCTCTCCTTACTCCTTACTGCCTCAGCAAAAAGCACTAGATTATCGACAAAGAAGACATGGGAGAGAGCTGGTCCGCCAGGTGAGATACGAATCGGTTTCCATCTTCCCATACTGACCGCTTCCTGGATTGTGTGACTTAGCCGCTCCTTGCAGAGTGTGAAGAGGCAGGGAGAGAGCGGGTAGCCTTGCCGGAGCCCCCGGGATGGGGAAAAAGTGTCTGTGCAGCCTCCGTTCCACAAAACCTGCATAGATGAAGAAGTGACGCACTCCATGATAACATGAATGAGGTTTAGGGGAAACTTAACTGCAACCAAAGTCTCACGGATGAAGTCCTAGCTCAGCGGATCGTAGGATTTAGCTAAGTCGATCTTCAGCACCATCTGCCCCTTTCTTCCTTTCTTACTACCCATTGAATGGACTACTTCTTGAACGATGATGATGTTATCCGTAATACTCCTCCCTGGCACAAAGCTGGTTTGAGTCGGGTGAACCAGCTGTTTCATAAGAGGATGGATTCTCTGCACAATACATTTAGTCACTATTTTATAAGCGACATTGCAAAGGCTAATCCGGCGGAAAAGCTTCATCAAATCAGGACTCTCCCTCTTTGGGATGAGGACTAGGAGGGTCTCATTAATCCCTCTGACGAGCTGGGGATCATCAAAGCATGCCGTGACAAAAGCTACAAGAGAATCGCCCACCTTATCCCAACATTTATGATAGAAGAAAGGCTGAAATCCATCATTACCCGGCGCTTTCAACGCTCCCATACTCTTCAAGGCGCTGACCACTTCCTCTCTAATAATCTGCCGCCCCAACGCCTGAGCTATAGCGTTCTCGAGGGGTTCGAAGCCATCAGGAAGCCGAGGAGCCGGCCCATACTCAGCCTGGTAGATCTCCTTGTAGAATCCGACAGCCATACACCGCAGCTCCTTCTCATCATAAACCCACTGTCCCTCTTCATTCCTCAACGCAAGAATCTTGTTGAACCTCCACCGTTTGAGCGTGGAGAGGTGGAAAAATCTGGTATTCCGATCCCCCTCATTAATCCAAACCATCCGGGACTTTCGAAACCATAATAATTGTTCCTGCCAGAGAGTCTCCTCCAATTCCCGACGGAGGGTGGTCTCTCTCTCAATAGATTCTGGAGTCTCATGCGTCTCATTAGCCTTCTCCACCCTGCGAAGTTGAGCAGCAAGTTGGCGTTTTCTTTTCTGAATGTGTCAAAACACATGCTGGTTCCACCACTTCAGCTGCTCCGTAAATTCCCGCAGCGCCCTCGGAAGGGTGAATGTTGACTCCCAATGATCCGTTAGCAACCGCAAGAAGTCTTCGTGAGCCACTCAAGGCGCTAAAAATATGAACTGTTTGCTACCAGCAGGTGGTTGTCTATTATCCCCTGCTTTAATAAAGATCGGTATGTGATCCGACCCTATTCTTTCCAGATGGTTCACCACAGAGTGCGGGAATCTGGTTAGCCATTGTCGGTTACAAATAGCCCGGTCCAAACGTTGAGATAACCCTCCTCTCTTCCAGGTAAACCGCGGCCCAGAGAATCCCATATCAATAAGTACACTATCGTTCATGCATTCCCGGAAAGCATGAGTACGCGCTTCCTGAAATGGGACTCCACCCCTCCTATCCTAGGATCCGACTATAGAGTTGAAGTCTCTCGCTAAGAGCCACGTAGTCTAAATCTCACAGCTCCGCCAGTGAATCTCCTACCACAGGTCCTGTCTCTTCGCCGCATTCGAACTGGCATAGATGGCAGAGATAAAGACCTATGTGTTGTTCTCACCTCTTCTCCGACACTTCATATGAATAATCTGAGAAGAAGCCGAGAGTTCAGTGACGTCCAGGTCCTGCTTATGCCATAACACCCAAATTCCTCCTGCAAAACCAGTAGCATCAACTCGAAGGGAACCATCGAACCCCGTCCGGTCTATAACTTTGGTTGCAGTATCCCCACTAATTTTTGGTTCCACTATGAAAATCAAGTCCGGCCTTAGTGGCCTACAAAAAGAAGAAAGATACGTTAAAAACGAGTCACTTTCTGCCCCTTTGCAGTTCCACGATAAGATGCTTAACATAATCTATATACAGAAAAATACTTCCCAGAGGACAACAGCGACTAAGTATCCGCATTCGGGGCACCTGCTCCCTCTTGAGGATGATCACCTCCAGATGCACTACCCTCTATCTTGCCACTTTGGGGTTTTGGGTCTCCATTCCTCGGTCTAGGTGGGTCGGGGGGTCCAATCTAGTTCCCGCAGACGGCGAGCCCCCGCCATGCGTGCCAGCTCTCCCATCCCCAGTCGGAGTATGGTGGTGGCTTCTTATTAGTTTTGGCCCCCAAATCTACCACCTGCTTTGATTTCGGCAGAGTAGCACCCTTCTTCTGGCCACTCACCTGCTGCCCCATGGTTACTTTTTGGGCGTTCATGGCTTTCATTTGGGCAGGTCGCTTCTCTTCAAGGGGCTTCTGGGTCGTAAAGACCACGGCTTCCTCCATTTGTGCAATCGTCACGTCCATCAAGCCTTCCTTGCGCTTGATTGTGTCATGAACGGTCACCGTCCTCTCCGTCCCGACATTCATGGGAGCATTAACTACCACATTGTTCTGGGAGCCACTAGTCACCTTTGGGTCCATCGCACTCATCTCCTGGCTTGCCGGCGCCAGCGTTTCTTTTTCACTCAACGCTTGGAACCTACCATTCCCACTCGTCACAGCCACAACAGTACGTTGCATGGTCACATGCTGGCCCATACCAATGTTTGGTTGCTGTTTGTTTTTTCGCGTCCTTGGCTTTGCGACCATCCATTCACCGTATATAAGTTCCTCCTCTGCCAGAGAAGGGCTGCTCTGCTCCGGATTCCCGACTCCGGTTCAACTTGGTGTGCGCTTGAGGGACAACCTACTGGGGAGTGACCATACTTCCCACATTCCATGCAAATGTTGTGAAGTCCTTCGTATTCAATGTAGTACTTCCTTCCTTCAATATTAAAGCTTGACAGGAAGGGTTTAGTGAGATCGACTTCCACACAAACCCGTGCAAATCGCCCTCTCTCCCCATTCTGTGTTGCTTTGTCCACCCTCACTGGTTTCTCCATACGTGAGGCTATTCTTTCAGCCGCCTTCTTGTTCACGTAATCGATCAGCAGTCCCAGGAGCTTCGCCCAAACAATCGTTGTTGCCACTTCAGCAGACTTCAGGTCGAACCCCTTGCGCCAAGGCAGCACCGTGAGATAGTGATCGCCGATCATCCATGGTCCTCCCACAGCCGCATGCTCATAATCCATGTGGTGGGTGAATCAGACCACGTAAAACCCCCAGGAGATGCTAATGATTTGGATGGAACCATTCTTAGTCCACATAGACTCCAGTCGTCTCGCCAGGATTGGGTAAGAGAAAGTTCGCCCCAATACCTTGACTATGAGCGTAGATCGCCACTTGCGACGATACCAGATCTTTTCCATGGCTTTGAAGGGAATCGTCGGACAACGTGGATCATCGTCCTCTGGAATCTCATCGTCCATATCATCCTCCTTCATCGCCTCTGCCATGTCCTTAAAGTCTGACTCCGTAATGTACCATGCGTCCTCCGTGAAGTTAGTGGTGAAAAGTGTCTTTGTGCCCTGCATCCACGCCGACAGTGGCACCGTGCCGAGCGGACTCGTCGGCGCCGTTTTGGAGGTGTTGCCCTCCTTGGTGATCTCGCCATCAGCGTCAGTCATAACAACTTCTTTCTCAAACACCGGGTTGCCCACCAATGGCTTATCTCTCATCTTAGCTTGCTGGGTCTCTTGCTCCCCCTTCCCATTCAGCGAGGACGTAGCCGACGGGGGTCGCCGGAGTCCTTGGTTCACGTCCGGAAGGTGGCACTCCGGGGGTGTGGCCCCCGGCGCCATGCTGCTCATCTTCGTCGAACGACAGAAGGTTAATCTTCGGGATCGCGCCGCTCCGAGAGTTACGGAGCTAGGGTTTTTACTCTCGTTTGAATGATGAACAGATGAATTATCTAAATTTAATTACACCTCAGATGCATAGCAAAACGTAAAAAGAAAGAAAAAAAACTAGGATACAAATAAAAATAAAAATCTACGCCATTTGATTCATTAGAAAATCAATATACTTAACTAGTTTTGTGTCTGCCAGTTGGGCGTTAAGTGTTATATGTTTTTTTTACCCTTCTTCAATTACTTGTAATTTTTAATGATGTTGGATTCATACTTTTTCATACTTATTACGGTTATCTAATATCGTGTTTCGTTTGATATGAGAATCGTTACATTTGATGTGGGTCTGACCATTATCAACAATAATGTCACAAAATAATATTTATAACTTTATTACCGGTAATCATATTGTTAGTCATATGATATTTGATTCACCAACAATGTTTAACTTTGTAAAGTTGTACATATTTTTTATTAATTAAAGGAAAATAAGTCCCTTATGTCATCCTTCCAATTGTTTTAAACTTCATAATCTTTTTTTTTTCGTTGAATAAACTTCATAATCTTATGCTAATAATACCTCAAGGAATCTAGAATTGTTGGGAGGAAAAAGTTTGAATTTCCTTTCCTCAGGATATTTTTTTAGCACGAGAACAACTCTAACATGTACTTGAGGTAGATTTAGATTGAAATAAATACATGTTTTTGTAACAAAGCGTCTAAAATTAAACATGATTTTGATAAACGAAAGTGAAAGATAATTGCATATTATGAGCATTTTATGAAAGTGTAGTTGCAGTTATACACAACCAAACTGTTCAGTTATGCTTCTACATTACCTTCAACATACTATGAATGCTATGAAAATAAATATTAGTTATATAGATAATTTGTCTCCTTTTCACATTATCATCCAATATTAACTTAATAACCAACGACCCAAAAAAGTAACTAACAACAAATCTAACATTCCTTCTTTTATCTATACTAATTTCCATTATTAAAGCGCATCATGCAACTTGATTCTCTCATAGGCATTCAGAAAAATATCATACGCGAGTTAATTAGCTGGTGGTCAACATAGGGGTAATTAGCATAAACGGTCACACAACTATTCACTTTGTACAAAACGGTCACTAAACTTCCATTTTGCACATTTCAATGAAAAATGTTTGGACGAATACCAAATCGGTCATTCAGTCCATTTCATCCATAAATCTTTCAAATAAGTACAGTCAGCACGCCACGTCAACAAATAGATGAATAAACAAATAACAAAACCAACCAGCAAACCCTAACCGAACCAACTCAACTCAACCCAACCCTACCCGGACACTGTACCTGATGCATCTCGAGTTGGGCACAATACATATTGTCGTTTCCTTGGCTTCATGGAGGAGGAGCGATTCAGCTCCCCTCTGCTCTTCGCCGCCGCCTACCCCCAATTGCAGCCTTCCAACTCCTCCATCGCAGCTCCCGAAAACACCTGCTACCTCCTCGAAAACCATAATCCCCTCACCCTTTGTCTGGCTTCTCTTCTCGTCTGACGGAAACCCCACGATTCGGCGACGGCGCTGCATGCTCGTCCCGGTGGATTAGGTTCATTCTCTGCTCCGACTGAGCAAACATGGACAAGTGGAGGTTGTGTGTGGCTGGAGGAGATGGCGAATCGAATCCCCTGCCAACGAGATCTGGGAGGTCGTACTACACCCACAATTGCTAAATCTTCCTCGTATCGTGTGAGCTTTCTATTAACGGCAAGGTGGTCGGCGGCGACGCATTTGAATCGCTGACAGTAGGCACCGCTTCCTTTTGTTTTTTTTGTCCCAGTAGCGCTACTTTAGGTCACTCCAACTCTCGATTTCTATCTCCTCTATTTGGTTGCTGAGAAAATTGAGTAAAATTTTACGAAGATTCGAATTCATCACCTATTTGGCTTTCCTGCTCGACACCATGATGGATTCTTCCTAGCACACTTTCTTCTCATAAATCCAAACATTCGCAGGTTGGCAATAAATCAATGGCACAGAGGAGTTTCACCCATATCACAACGCAAGGCCACTTTATGACAGGGTATGGTGCTCGGGTCGGGTGGGTTTGAGTGTGTTCGGCTGGGTTTAGTTGGTTGATTTATTTTGGATTGTTTACTAATATTTTAGTTGATGTGGCATGCTGACTGTGCTTAGTGGATGGATTTTTGGACGGAAATGGATGGAATGATCTTTTTGTTATTCATTCAAACATTTTTCACTAAAACGTGCAAAATTAAATTTTAGTGACTGTTTTGCACTAAGTGATAATTTGTGTGACCATTTATGATAATTACCCATCAACATAGAGTTATTAATGAATTTTGATTGGAAAATTACTATATTTAGAACTGGCTAAGAGAAGAGATAATCCAAACACAACTCAATTTGCTATGTCTAATGTGTTTGGAATGATAGGGACTTGAGGGAAGTCAAAGTTTACATGTATGTGAAAAATGCCTGAACCTGTGTTGTTGAAATCATATTCACAGACCGAAAATGAAATAGAAGCAAATGAGGATCATAATGAAATTTTAATGGATTCACAAACTACTGCTACTTGAAAGGGGTCAAAATAAATGTCTGCAGAAAGTGCTAGTGTTTGTTTGAGTATAAAAGCTCGAAAGGAAAAAAGGAAATCTATGAACTATAATGGGTTTATTAGAGTTGTAATACCAAAAGGTTTAACGAATTCCTATTCAATTTCTTGGAAAACAAACAGTGAATATTGTGAAGTTTATCAAGAGGAGTGTCGATGCATACCCTCAAATTTATGCATTCAAGTCAGATTTCATATTTGTTTGATTAGAAAACTTGAGTGCTTGATACTCTACAAAATTACATTCATTGTGTATTTAGGAACAAAAATAACATGTTCACGACGATGTATTATATTATGATAATATTTAAATTATATCCATAGTATATTTACTGCATATGAGATGTCGGGGCGCGTTACCTTCAAGTACAGGAGACGTCCCACAAGTCGTCTGTAGCTGCTAACATCGGCGACGATCTCCTCTGTCGGTCTGGTAAGTGTATGGTTTTGTTCCATGGGGAAGTTGCTTGGTCGCGCTCCTGTGACTCCTGCATCCTTCAAAATATTCAGAGTGTACTTTCTTTGATTTAGTACAGCCCCGTCTGCCGATCTTGCAACTTCTATTCCAGGAAATATTTCAATACCTCAAGTCCTTTATGCTAAACTTCTTGTCGAGGAAGGCCTTGACAGTTGCAATAAAAGTTTCATCTGTTCCTGTCAAGATCACATCATCAACATAAATTAGTGCTGCTACAAAAACATCTCCACGACAGTAAAGGAGGAGGGAATGATCAGCCTTGGAAGGCTTGAAACCGAGCTCCGTGAGCGCCTCAGTAAACTTTTGGTACCAATTTCGCGATGCCTGTCGCAGCCCGTATAGCGACTTCGTGAGCCGGCATACCCTGGTGTCACCCGGTGCCCCGAATCCCGGTGGCAACTTCATGTAGAGCTCTTCCTCTAAATCCCCATGCAAAAATGCATTGTTCACGTCGAGCTGATGCATAACCCACCCTCGTCTGACTGCTAGAGCTATGAGGACTCTTACCATGACAATCTTTGCAACGGGAGCGAATGTGTTGTGGAAGTCTATTCCTTCTAACTGAGTGAACCCTTTCGCTACCAGCCGTGCCTTGAATCGTTCCACTGACCCATCCGGGTTGTACTTAACCTTGAACACCCACTTTACGTCAATTACTCTCTTATTTGCCGGCAATTGAGTCAGAAACCATGTTCCGTTTGCCT